CTTGGGCCTCTTCTTGAATGGGTTCCTGAATGCGCTGAGTGATCCTGATCAGATCCAATTGTGCCAAAGGGCGTTTCAGGGCCGAAATACCGATTCCTAGATCTTTCGTTTCCCCTCCTAACCCCTACTAATCTTTATCGCCGTGGCTGGCTATCACCCACTCTCTTCACTTTGACCGGAGTTTCCTCTGAGTCCTGAGATGTTGCAATACCGTATTTTCCCGAATATAAGTCGACCTTCTGTGTGCCAGAAATTTCGTCAAAAGCTGGGGTTGGACTTACAAACGGAACTCGACTTACATACGGACATCTGGCACAACAAATGAAATGACTGGAGTGTCCGTACAAAAATGCACTAACGTACGAACCATGTGAACATTGAATGACACTGGTTTTGTTCAGATTTTTCAGATTTTGTCTTACTGGCATGATAATTATGATCTCTTCTCGCAGAGAATTCATCATTTTTTATGTGTGGGTGTCATAGAGCTATAAAAACTTTTTTTCATGAAATTGACTCCTGGATTTGGGGTGGTCGACTTATATTCGAAGTCGACTTATATTCGGGAAAATACGGTAAATAAAATTGATACAGTACGACCTGCCCTCAAAGTTTTTTGTTTTGTTTCTGGTTTCTCATTTGTCATGAAGATGGATGCTAATGTACTGGGAGAATTTCCAACATAATCTGCTGTGAGAGATGACGATGAAGTAGAGCAGGTCTCGGCATTCTTCCCGGTATTGAAGTATAATTCCAGTCCCTTTGCGGATGTGCTGGAGTTTCCCTGGCACCAGCACATGCACTGTTCCCCAATCCTATTTATGTTTTAGTCTCGCCCACTCTCTCCATGGTAGATGTACTGCGCGGTCCACAGTCCATTCAGAAAAAGACGAGCGCTGGCTCTGGAGAGTTCCGTGTTTGGCGATTTTTCATGATTTTGTGGTACAGTGTGCAGTGCCGCGAGATTCGAAACTTGAAAAAAGGGTCCAAAAAGGTGCCTCAACTGTGGTTCGAACCACGAATATACTGTTATGCATGTGCAGTGAACGGCCTGGATTTTCATGGTTTTTCCCAATTCAGTGCTTTGGGGGCAAAACCTGGCTGAACTTCTATTCTCGTTATGGCTTGCTCTTCGGAGAAATAGACTTCAAAAACACAATTGGAAGCGCATTCCATGGGGTTTGTCAAATAACTTGTGACAAAACTCAAAATTTGACCCATTTATGGCCAAAAGCTAGGAGATCATATTTTTTCTGAATGGACTATTGTACTGTCTGTATTGTAGGAAACCATGGGTGCAGCTGAGCAACTGTTTCCCAGGACCGCGCACTGGCGACACCAGTGGACACTGCGGGCACTGGGTGCACCACCCAACGTTAGATACATTTCGTCTTCGTGACCTCCTTCAATCTCCTTTCCTGCCATGCAAGAACTGTATCCTCCTCAATCGCATGCAAGTGAATTACTTCAATGGGGGACGGGGAGGAATGAGTTGTGCAAGCCGAGGTCTCTTACCGTCTTCGACTTCCTCGTTCCAGACTATTCCTCGTTTCATGTTCTTGGACCGTGGTGCCGTCACGCGTCACGGTCGCCGCTCGTCGTTTCGGTGCTGTAGCAGCCGCCAGGGCCATACCGCGTCGGCGGCTCGGCGCACTACACCAATGACATAATTTTTCCCATATTTTCTTTTAATCTGTGTCACCTTTCCAAGTTTTCCCATACGTAGATCTACCTGGGTTACTTGGACCTCATTCGCTTCCTTGTCATTAGACATGTATGTATAATGTATGTACACTGTTGTGTGGCAGAAATCCAAGAGAGCTAGTCCGTGACCATGGTGACACACTACTCAGTACTGTCACTAGTCAGAACAACAGATGGCTTGATCAGTGACTGACCAAGCCATCTGTTGTTCTGACTAGTGAGTAGTGTATGGTATACTGTTCAGTCCGTTCGTTTTGCGAACTCCAAACTGGCCCCCAACCCCAACATGTCTGTGTGGACATCCAGGCCAGTTCTGCGGATAGAGGTTGTATGACCGGTATACAGGCATGTCATCCACAAAACGTAACACGGACCCGTAGATCTACCTGTCTACCCAGCCGTACCCGGACCCGGCCAGGGCCACCGGTCACCCTCACGCACTGCTGTTGCTGCTGCGGTAGATCTACGCGGTAGCTAGCTCACCTCGGCGAAACGTGCACCATTTCCACACTGGAGCTTCGAGGTGAAATATTTTCACTGCAGCGCTAGCTGTAGTTTCTTCAGTTTTTCATGCTACAGCCAGTACAGGCAGCCTGTAGACGAGTTGTAGTAGGCAGCGAGGTGGTGTTACAGTTAGTTTAGCCGTCTGCTGCTTCGTGTCGAAGTTTGTTTGGGTGCAGGCTGTGTAAGAATCTGTTTGTTGGCCAAAGGGTTTCATCGAAGTTTCCTTGTGGCTCGGAGGCTCCATTCGACTGCTCCATACCGTCACGACGTAGAGAACCGGTACAGCCTATGATCCGCCCACGACGTTCAAAGTCGTGTCCAGGATTCAAGCAAACCGTGACTCCTGGCTGCAGGAGCGCTCGCCACTGGACGTTCATCGTCCCCGTTTGTCATGGTGTTCCAGTGATTCTGGGTAAGTGGTTGGCCAGTGTTGTTCGGTTCTTGGGGATTGTTGTTCGTTCTTGTTTCCTGAAGTGGCCGCAGAGCACCGGTAACGGGTATGCATGGCTCATACTCCTTTGAGCGTCTCAACAACTCAATGACTATTTTGCTTGTGTACTGCGATTGGGAGTAAAGTACGGTGAATAGGTGTGGGTTCTCTTCACTCGGTGAGTGCGTTCGATTACACACTTGAATCGATTTATGAATCGATTCAAGCGCATTCAAGTCGTTCGATTTCATGTCATGAGCATTGGAATCGATTCGGAATCCATTCACTCTATTCACATGGGGTGATGTGAATAGCGCGAATCGATTCGCGAATCGATTCATGAATCGATTCGCGTGCATAATCGAACGCACTCAGTAGAGTGGAGTCGAGCCAGCTGCAGTTCCGGGGGGGGGGGGGGGGGGGGGGGGGGGCCGAAAGGCTGGCTCACTCCCCTTTCCATGTCCACGACAGTACATCATATTAAAAGTCTTACAAGAACTCCGTCAACAGAGAAACGTTGACTACTGGTCAGAGTGTTTCTATGCATGGCGTGCGTGGAATATATGGACTGTTACTTCGAAGTATATGTACCAGTACAGTGGCGGTCAAAGAAATGCGACCCGCGAATCAAAAGCAGCTCCGCATTTCTATTTCACCGTGCATGGTCGAATAACCCATCCGGGAGGGCCAGAGCTCCTGGTTCGGACTCCCCGATACACGTTGCAATGCAAATGGAGTGAAGCTTCCTTGTAAATTTGCTGAGCGGAGGGCTCGACATGCTTCTCGTACTCTGGACGCGCGTTCTCGACGTTGAGAGCAGCCAATTTCCTCAAGTTGATGTCATAATATGATGTAATGTGCGCGGATTATCAGACATATCCTGGACCTTAGCTAGTACAAAATAGCACAAGGAAAAATGTTCGATGGTTTGATAAGCTGTACAAACGCCGTATATCAGTCTGGCCAGAGGAGCATTGCATCAAAAGAATGCTGTCAACTTGAAATTCTGTTGGGACAAAACTGTATGCGTGAGCTGCCTACTCTTGGGGGTGATGCACTCTTGTCAATGCTCAGTGCACGCTCTTGGAACCATGCCTCCACTGAAACAAAAGTGTGAAACACTTCTAAAATTTTAGGGTTTCTTTGGAATCTGCAGGCAGGCATAGTGGGATGGTCTAAGACCATGATTGAGAAACAGAGGGCACCAGGTTCAAGTCCTGCTTGGAAGTCTGATCTACTCACGTCCCACCGCTTAGGAACTGCATCTGCGCCTTGATCCAAGAGGGTAGTGGCGTTCCTGCGGATACGGAAAACCGGGCATTTGGCCGAGTCTCACGCGAACCGTGATTTTTTTGAATCTGCACCCGCTGAAAACATTCTGAAGAATGTTATCCATTTCTACATCACTCATGATGTGCCACGTCTATTTTGGTGTGGTTTATTGTGTGTACATGTACAACAGATGGTGACTGACGTCCGTGACTTTTGTTGTTGTCGCAGTCATGGCTGCAGCTGCAGAGGTATGAATTGTCCACACGTCATTGCTTTGCCAAATTCTGAAAATGTTGTCTCAAAGACATCTTACAGTGTGCACACACATACACACATGTTTGCATGCGCACATACACTCGCAATCACACGCACGTGCACACACACACATACACACATGTTTGCATGCGCACATACACTTGCAATCACACGCACGTGCACACACACACACACACACATATGCACACACACACACACACACACACACACACATGTTTGCATGCGCACGTACACTTGCAATCACACGCACGTGCACACACACACATACACACATGTTTGCATGCACACGCACACTCGCACACTCGCACTGCACACATACACACCTTCCTTCCTTCCTTCTTCTCCACTGCCATGACTGGCTAAGTGGCCCCATACGGGGCAGCTCTTGGATTAGCGCTGTCTCCGGGAAGCGGCACCAGGACCCGACGACCGACGTGACGGCGCATTCCCACGGGTTATAATTGCTATTGAACGCCGCGATGTACAACGATGCCGTGCGATATCCTGACGGCGGCGGAAACTGCGGTTGCACACACCGCAAAGCAGAGGCTTGTCGACAGGCTCTTGACGGGCAAGTACAATACGATCCACCCCATCAAGGCACTGAGACCTCCACTCACGGCGATTACTTGCCAAAAAAAACGACGAGCAGGCTCATCCCCAGTCGGTGTTGGGCGACCACTTGTCAAAACTAAGCAATCTCCGACAGTATATTGATGAGAGCCAAACCAAAGCGTCTCCTGGAGGCCAACGATGTCCACTCCATACTTCAAGTCCTGCTTGGAAGTCTGATCTACTCACGTCCCACCGCTTAGGAACTGCATCTGCGCCTTGATCCAAGAGGGTAGTGGCGTTCCTGCGGATACGGAAAACCGGGCATTTGGCCGAGTCTCACGCGAACCGTGATTTTTTTGAATCTGCACCCGCTGAAAACATTCTGAAGAATGTTATCCATTTCTACATCACTCATGATGTGCCACGTCTATTTTGGTGTGGTTTATTGTGTGTACATGTACAACAGATGGTGACTGACGTCCGTGACTTTTGTTGTTGTCGCAGTCATGGCTGCAGCTGCAGAGGTATGAATTGTCCACACGTCATTGCTTTGCCAAATTCTGAAAATGTTGTCTCAAAGACATCTTACAGTGTGCACACACATACACACATGTTTGCATGCGCACATACACTCGCAATCACACGCACGTGCACACACACACACATACACACATGTTTGCATGCGCACATACACTTGCAATCACACGCACGTGCACACACACACACACACACATATGCACACACACACACACACACACACACACACACATGTTTGCATGCGCACGTACACTTGCAATCACACGCACGTGCACACACACACATACACACATGTTTGCATGCACACGCACACTCGCACACTCGCACTGCACACATACACACCTTCCTTCCTTCCTTCTTCTCCACTGCCATGACTGGCTAAGTGGCCCCATACGGGGCAGCTCTTGGATTAGCGCTGTCTCCGGGAAGCGGCACCAGGACCCGACGACCGACGTGACGGCGCATTCCCACGGGTTATAATTGCTATTGAACGCCGCGATGTACAACGATGCCGTGCGATATCCTGACGGCGGCGGAAACTGCGGTTGCACACACCGCAAAGCAGAGGCTTGTCGACAGGCTCTTGACGGGCAAATACAATACGATCCACCCCATCAAGGCACTGAGACCTCCACTCACGGCGATTACTTGCCAAAAAAAACGACGAGCAGGCTCATCCCCAGTCGGTGTTGGGCGACCACTTGTCAAAACTAAGCAATCTCCGACAGTATATTGATGAGAGCCAAACCAAAGCGTCTCCTGGAGGCCAACGATGTCCACTCCATACTTCCCGAGCTGACGACACACAAGGTCAATTTTTCTCTCCTCGCGAATATTCGAACAAACTTTCCTTGATTTTTTTGCTTTGGACGCCGTATTCAAATTTCCGTCAGTGTCGACAAGAGTCCTGACGTTCCACGTTCCCAGAGACAGAACAACCTTTCGAGCCGCTGGTGCACGCGAGTGAAAAGACTCTGGGCGAGGGTTTGCAAGACCTCTACACCCAGGCGAAAGAGGGTCAGCGCGAGTGGCCACATCCGAAGTGGCCATGTCGTCAACGCTGAATTTTCCTCCTCCGCGGCAGCAAGATGAAGACTGCCTTGTCTAACACCGCGTCACTAAGTGTTTTCTACTCACCAGGGCTGGCCCTGGCAGAAGCCAGGAGCCAGCCCGTGGCCCTAAACTCACTACGAAGAAAGAAGAGTTCGGAGCTCCAAAAACTGCTTCCTCCTCTCTCAAGAGAACTCAAGAGAACATACACACATACACACACACATACACACACACACACACACACACACACACACACACATATGTACCCGCTCCATGCTATCATTGGACTGTTAAAACTTGTGCCAATACGTGTACAGGGCCATCTGGTATTCTTGATTATCTTCAGTGAACAGTAATGCTTCAATGTGGCCTACGTCAGCCAACCAGGCCCCTGGAATGGCAGTGGCCAAACGCAAGCAATAAGCCCATATGAATATATCTGCAGCTAGCCAGGGCTGTCTCGTCCCCCGATGAACACTTGATCAACACAGCATAGATCTCTGGCAGTGCTAAAACAAAAACAAACAAAAAACAGAACTTGCATGGCACCATGTATGCTGCTAAGTACTGGTCGTAGCCAGGGAGTTGTAAAATACCGGTATTTTACGACTCCCTGGTCGTACCTTACTGGCAGCTTCTGTGATTCTCAGCTCATGGTATGCTAGCCCTTGGCAGATACTGCTGGCAGATTTTTTATCTTCAGAATTTGGTACTTTATCGGGATGCTTTCATGCATGTTTGGTATGTGCATAAAGAAATGGAGCAGAATTCAAGGCAAGGTGAAGTGCCTGCCATAAGTTTTGTATTGTTCTGCCAATTTCACTGCTTTTCAAGCAGAATCTGCCAATTATTCGAGCATTATCCGCCAAGGTCTACTGTATGCACTCTGTATGTTGTTATTGCAGAACCACGCGGTCAACTCATGGCCATGGTCAAGCCACATGTTCCGCAAGTGGATCCCACGCCTCCAAGCAGCGCTCAGCTGCGATGCAATTCGTGTGGAATGCTGTGCCAAGCGGTTGATCTCCGATGCGCAGAAGAAGGAATTGATGGCGATAAAAGATTCGGCCAAACACAATGACAGACTGCTAGATATGCTGAGCAGGGGTACAGCTGAGACTTTCCACACTTTCTGTAGAATTGTGCGTAGAACCGAACCTAAAGCAAACTTTTCAAAGTTCCTAGATGACATGCAGTCAGTAGATACCTTTGTTGGCGGTAAGTAGAAATTTTATCAGTACATGTACAGACAATACTGCATGTCCTTGAGTTGCTTTGCTACATATCTGTACAGTGCATATTGATGGCACCAACCTGCGTTGAAGTTTTGCAAAGGTGCTTGTCACGGTGTGTGTGTGTGTGTGTGTGTGTGTGTGTGTGTGTGGGTGTGGGTGTGGGTGTGGGTGTGTGTGTATGTGTGTGTGCATGCAAGGAGGCATTTTGCGAGGCTGTGAAATGATTCGGCTATTTCCTGTTCTCTATGTCCTCTCTAACACAGGCAATGAAGGTGAAGCAAATAAAGTAACTCGACGTCAACCAGCCCGGTTCACCGGGAACCCACCACCAACACCTAGCCAAGCAACTCGGTCTCCGCCAGCCATAGCACCCAAACCAAAGTCTGTTGTTAAACCCCAGGCCACTGACGCATCTCCCGCCAAGCCCACCGGCGTCTCTGCAATGATAGCGGCCTTGAATTCAGCCGGTCAGGAAGGGAAATCGGCTGGAAGTCTACCTTTGAAAACCAGTCGAGCCCCCCAGCCTCCTACTCGCCCAAAGCCCGTCACTCCCCACAACACAGCAAGAGCAGTGGAAACTAAGGATCTCACATCAGGTCACAGAGTGCAGCTGGTAGTGACTTCTGATCCTGTGTCTCCTCCACGACCACCGCTCTGTGACCACGCACGACTAGCGGCTGGCGGTAACCAACCAGATGGCACTGAGGCGGCGACATCTGGCCCAGGTGATCCCAAGCCCTCTCCGAAACCTGGACAAGCTGCTCCGTCCAGGTCTGCTAGTGTCTCCACACTAGCATCTAGTTTTGAATCGAATAGGCACGAAACAGTCAGACTGGCCCTAAATCAAGCCCCAAAGCCAAAACATCACCAAACGTTGATAGCCGGTGCCAGGGCATCTAGCTTGGCCAGGAGCCCAGCAATAGCTGGTGGCAAACACCCAGGCGGACATGCTGTGCAGCAAGTCCAGCGGTCAGTGCTGCCAACAGAGAGCTTAACTGCCAAGCCCATTGCTCGATCTCTGACTGGACGCGAGCCGGTTACCAAGAAGGCAACAGGAGATTCAGCAACGCCTCCCCAGCCAAACTCTCTGGTAAGAGACATAATTATAAATGACAGGAGTCACAGTGCGTTATGCTAGAGCTTATAATTATTGTAAGGCAAAACTGAAGTCTGTAGAGAGTGGAGCCTATATCAGACCACACTCCTTGTGAATTTTAGAGGGCAATCGGGATTGGGCACTGCACGTAGCACCGAATCACCTGCGTTTTGATTGGGAGAGGCCGTAGAGATATGAAATTTGATCTTACTATTTCCAATATAAGTAGCAAAGGAGTAGTTTAGCTCACCTGAAAGGGGGCCCGTAGACTGAACTTCAGTGCCCGGATAAATGAGGTATGAGTGTACAGTCCATGCTGTATCATGTGATCAAGGGACTAGTAGTACATAGAGAGACGGCACGGTACATCGTATCACTGCCTCCTGTGGGCTTCGAGCCTGGGCGGTCCCTTACTGTCACCCTTCCAGGGCTCATGACATGAAATCGAACGGCGAGATTCCATTCATGGATCGATTCAAGTGCGTAATGAAATGCACCCACTGTGCCTGCCTGGGTAGCTATGGCAAACATGGGCGCGCGAGCAGCTGCCCAAGCCAGAGTAGCGAAGGGTGTCACAGAAATACGGGGTGCGGGATACCTAGGCAAAGGATGTATGGGGAATGTTTGGGAGATGATGACCTACCTAACACTTGTCTGGGCGCACGTGCGGTCAGCAAGTCAGCAAGTCATTGCTGTGACCCCTGCTACAATAGTGACGGCAGTTGCATCAGCCTTATACATTTGTACCTCGTTTGTCCGGGCGGTCCGGGACCGGACACTACCCGTAATGTTGAACTGTCCGTAACTCCAAATCACATACATTTTGATGGGGAAAGACCACAGATATAGATGCATAATTGTGGTGTCAATAAATCCACCAAAAGTGACAAAAGGGTAGAAGAAGTGTCTCCACTGAAACTCACCCAAAGGGTGTCCGGTAGACCGAAGTGCCCTTAACTACGGGGTCCAGATGACTGACGTAGGAGTGTGTTTTGCCCTTTTGAAAGAGGTCGAGGCATTTCTTCATGATGATAATGCAGTTGAATTACTCGCTGGTGCATTCGTAAGTGGTGAATATCACCAGTCTGATGTTGAAGAGTGACATGAGGTTGTGGTCCAATGGTAGGGAGTTCAGGTCCGGTCGCCGAAAAGCGAAAAATGCAGTCACAGCTCGCCTGTACAAAGTGAATGGGCGCCTCGTGGCAGCAGTTCGGGATGCAATTCGAGGCCCAAGTATCTTCTTCCTCGGCCTTTTCGGCATTGTCGATGCTATTTTTTGGATAGCTGAGGTCATTACCTTTCCAATGGTGCCACACATGCCTTGCTTCCAACAATAATGCCTCCGCGCTTGGCGCGGATGCACTCCGAAGTACTAATTTCGACCAGATGCGTACTCGGCCCCGCGAGGAACACCCGATTTTCGTTTTCAACGGCCTCGAATTAGTCTAAAACAAGAGGATTCTAGAACATTTAGGCTCGCGCTTTATCACGATAGAAGGAAAATGATCACAGAAACCAGCCCACGGCGATTTCCTGGTGGTTGACAAAAAATATCGAGTGAACTGCGCGCACACTGTAGAAGCAGTGACGGTGAAAACGTGTGACTTGTGCAAGCAGGCGCGAACGGCATGCGTGCACACTGCATGCATGCACACATCCTGTATCGCCATGTACGCACCAGATAGTGCAGTGCTGGACGGAAACCACATGGCCCACATACGGACTTGCATTTACTTCTGTGACTAGTTTCACCCCCATTTTCCGATCTTCTATCAACTATAATTCTAGATTGCCTTGGAATTTTGAGTTCAAATTTTCACAGGTTGTTTCTCACATCTTCCCGGTTTCAACAACAAGCGTTTTAAGCGAAACTCGCGAAATTGGTTTTTCAATTGAACTCCCTACCATTGGTAGTAAAAGTTGTGTGACGTGTTGCAGCCTTCTCGGATCATCATCATTCAATTAAGCACCCCGAAGACTACAGCTTGTTAGCAAGTCGTTTTGTCCGTGATTGTCGTCCATGGCAAAACAGCGCTTCCAGTGAATGTTTTGCACAAACCCCTTTCTAGTAAGGGGAGCTCGCTGCGCTTTGGCAGAGGTGCGCAGATTTGATTGGGATGTAGGAAGAAGGGAGCTTCCTCGTACGAAGGGGATATAGGACACAGGGAGCTTCCTCGAACAAACCCCATTCAATTCGGCAGTCAGCAGAGAACAAGAAATGAGATTTCGATGTTGGCAGCCGTACTTTCCCTTTATACTATAAAGCAAGGTGCTGACAACTATTACTTCATATCCGATAACTTTCGTACGAAATATCTCTGCCTGTGAAGAAGAGGTTGACGTTACTCCCGCAATATTTGGGGACTGATTGTGTGCTGCTCCCTATGTGGGAGCTCGCGTTTTTCCTGCCGACTTAAATTCTCACTTGACTGACTCATGACTGCCATCCAGAATTCAAGTCAGCAGGGGAAAAACCAGCTACCACCTAGGGAGCAACACACAGTTCCTATGAGAAAAAATTTAAAAAGGGTTTACTGGGTGTTAGCGGCTGTCGTGATTTCCCTTCGGGGACGGACACGATAATTTACATTTTTTTAATAGGGAAGAGAGAGGATCCTAGTGGAAAATTTTGTGACTCAAAGTGTCATGCAGTAGCAATCATCAGACGACTTGTTTGTCAACTTGTCTGATGATTGCTTCGGCATGAAACTTTGACTAAGAAAGTTGTAGACATCACGCAACTGTATTTTTGAAGAATAGGGGGTTTGTCAACTGACAACCGCTCTATTCAATTACTTTTCACAATCTGTGCCTGCGCTGCATTAAAAATTCTTTGTTGTGATGTTGGAAAAATTAGTGACGTTTCGGGCCAGTCACCCATCGTCAGAGCAATTTCCAAGGGGCGAACCTGGCCTTTTTATAGCGAAAGCAAGCCAGAGCGTATGTATGTCCATGTACAAAAAAATAAACGAAACACACAATGAAACTTTGAGTCAAAATATTTTTCGACTTGGATCCTCTCTCTGCCATACGCAGACGCTCTGCACCCTGCGCACAAAGTACTCTTTAGGCAGCGTGCCACACTTTTTCAAGGGTATTTTATAGTTTATACTGGACTTTCACTGTGTACTGAAACAAATCACACCAGTGAGAAAAGAGTTTTGCACGTCTGAAAGTGTAGTGTAGATGTTCTGCATTAACAAACTGCTTGCCGTAAATCACACATGCAGGTTTCTACCGGCTATTTGCTGCTAGTTTTCTTCTGCAGAGGAAGCGTGCTGGCTATTTGCCTACCGAGGCGGAATTGAACTGCCCGTGTGCCGGTCGGTTCTTAATTTCATGCTCGTGTCGCTGTGTATATGTATGTTGACTTTGCAGAGCCAAGCGGGCAACACATGGCCATGGTCAAGTCGAGTGTTCCGCGAGTGGATCCCACGCCTCCAAGCAACGCTCAGCTGCAGCACAATCCGCATGGAATGCCGGGGAAAAGGTTTGATCTCCGATACGCAGAAGAAGGAATTGATGGCAGTAGACGATTCTGCCAAACACAATGAGCTTCTCCTCGATATGCTGAGCAGGGGTACAGCTGAGACTTTCCACACTTTCTGTAGTATTGTGCGTAGCACCGAACCTGAAGCAAACTTTTCAAAGTTCCTAGATGACATGCAGTCAGTGGATACCTTTGTCGTAGGTAAGTAGAAATTTTATCAGTCAGGTGACTGAGAGACACTCACAGAATTGTATTACATGTACAGCAAGTACTGTTGGATACCATTAGTACTTGGGTGACAATCTGAGAAACGTTCATGTTTGGAAAAGAAGAAGTGAGGACCTTGGTGTTCCAGTCTCAATGCCACCTTGGGCAAACCACTAAACTCCCCTGGGTTCAGCTGACTGTGTTGTGTAATGTGGAACCTACCAGAAGTTGGGCAGGGGAAGTTGGGCAGAGGAAGGTGGTGAGGGGGCGGTGTGTTGGGACGCATTGGGTTGGGATACGTTGGGGTGGGGAACAATAGGCATGGGCTCCGAGTGGAACACAAGATGCCCACATCTCAGAAGGTTTTGGATTCCAAGGACGCATGGAGAGTTGGCCTTTCCCAGGATATCCAAACACCAGCAGCTGTACTGCGTAGCCGTGTCTTGTGGTGTTGTACATTCTGGCTGAAGAAGCTGCAGGCCTTAGCCAAGCATGTTAACAACTGAATTTGTTGTCCTTCTACCGGTATGTTTGGTGGCGCATGCGTGTGTGGTCTTCAGTTTCTCCGGAATGCCAAAAAGACTGCAATAAAGTATTAGACCTGATGAAAGAGTTCTCAGCACCGGAACGTCAACGGGTGGTCCACACTGCCGAGGATGTGGCACGAATGCGCGCGTCACAGACCGTCCTCGACAAGAGAAAGAAACCCATCCACTTACCACAGCCAACCTCGGCTGTGAACGTAGACTTGCTGAGCATGCGGAACATGGGAGAAGGTAGGCGCAGGGCTATGAGAGAGGCTAAACTGCACGTTAAATTTTGATGTGACGTGCAATTCTACGTCAAACGGGTCCTTGACGTGAGCTGCAGGTCTCTCGTGTTGTTTTTCAACGCGCGGGCCAAATAACGCGTCACGGCAAAAATAACATGCAGCTTATCCTCTCTTTTATCTACTGGTGTAGTGTTTGAACCCGGACCTGGAGCCAATGTTATCTTGGAAAAAGAGGACAAAATATGCATTCAATCTACACGTAGCAGTATGTGCATTGTCCCAGTGATTGCATTTTCCCACAGTTGGATACATACGTTAGTGTAGGTTTTACTCTCTCATTGTTCTAGTACATTGCAAGTACTTCGTGTGCACTAAGCCATGACTCGCGTATGAACTTGAGGGCAAGGTGACTTCTACCCAATGTAATAATTATGCTGTCCGCTAGAAATTTCATATTAATTTCAGTTTTTATCGTCCCGGTTCTGCTTTGGTCTTGCTCAGAACAACGGCGAGCAGTATTGACTGAAATCGACCGCTTGGCGTCCAGCGCTAGCATCACTGATGACCGTGAGGCACAGGAATGGCAGTACCAGGGTCAGGTGACACGGGCGGACGGCCAAGTTGGTAAGCAATAGTTCTTACCTGTCTCTAGTGCATCAGCATGATAATTAGTTTGCAGATTGGTATTATTTCACCAACACCATTCCCATCACCCCGCTGGATGATGTGCCAGCTGGTGAAATGCATGGTGCTCTCCCCAGGGCTTTGTGGGTGCCGCATACTCTGTCTTCTCTGTAATGCTGTTCAAAGCAGTCCCTGATACATCGCTGTCTCTCCCACATACATCTCTCCATGAAACAAACAGAGCATTGAGTAGATAACATCCGGCTACATAAACTGGCCGTCACTCGTACCAACATCACTTTCACAACATTCCCCTTTGCCTCCACCTTCTCTTCTCCTTTCTGTACACCTCTCGGGAGGGGTGGGGGTGGGGGGGGGGGGGAGGGAGGGGGACACTCATGACTGGTGAATGAAGACAACACCAGCATATCTTTCAGAGACCTACCAGGCTGAAAAACACCACACGTGTTCTTGTTGTATGGCAATCGTCATGGACCAAACTGCAATCACTGACGAAGAGAAGCTTAAGGATGGGCGTGAATGTATTCTCGGTGCCGCTGGTGGCTTGTCTTGGCATGGGTTCGCTCAAACCTCTACTTCCTCCTCTGAATTGTCTTGTAAAATTGATCTGAACTGGCTTTCACTGTGTTCGGTGTGTCTGCCAATTTCGCCTCTTTCTCGTCTGTCGCAGACATATCGCCAGCTGATATACATAGAGAGTTAAGTAAGCACCCTTGTTTCATCAGCATCGGCACTGAATCTGCAAGGGACAACCGTAGCATTTCAGAGACCAAGCAGTATTTGAAGGATACTGGCTTCATCGACGAGAACACTGTCGTCACAGAGACCACTGGCTATCTGGAGGTGCTAGTGAGCGTGCCTGTGAACATACTGGCCATTCGTGGCAGCAAACGACTGAAGTTTACAGGTCAGCATTCGTATGCTAGCATGATTGCGTGATTGTTTGATAAGGGTGGGTGAGTGGGTGGGTGGGTGAGTGAGTGGGTGAGTGTGTAATGGTGTAATGGTGGGTGTAAGTGTGGTTGCGTGTGGGTGTAAGTGTGGTTGCGTGTGGTTGTGAGTGTGGGAGGGTGTGGGCATTTTCCATATTCGGCCAAAACAAAAACCTTGTTTACGGTCGGCCGACCGGGTCATATTCTCCTAAGTCTGAAACATATTTTGGTCTGAATAAGTGTACAATAGTTGCCCGAGGAGCCTGTAAGTAGCTGGCAAAACAGCTCATTTACATCATGCATACATGCCTACATGTACAGTCATGTATATCCAGTACTAGATATCCAGTACTAGACATCCAGTACTAGACATCCAGTACTAGACATCCAGTACTAGACATCCAGTACTAGACATCCAGTACTAGACATCCAGTACTAGACATCCAGTACTAGACATCCAGTACTAGACATCCAGTACTAGACATCCAGTACTAGACATCCAGTACTAGACATCCAGTACTAGACATCCAGTACTAGACATCCAGTACTAGACATCCAGTACTAGACATCCAGTACTAGACATCCAGTACTAGACATCCAGTACTAGACATCCAGTACTAGACATCCAGTACTAGACATCCAGTACTAGACACCCAGTACTAGACATCCAGTACTAGACACCCAGTACTAGACAACCAGTACTAGACATCCAGTACTAGACATCCAGTACTAGACATCCAGTACAGGTGGACTTCCAGGTTGTAAGGAGTACCCAGTCTGTATGAGTGCAGTCAGTGAACTGTGACATTGATCTATACCATGTGATTTATTATACATGTGCATCACAGAAGTACATGAATGTATGTTCATGCTTTTGCCCGTCACATATCATGATGTAAGCCTCAGGATCATTGATCATAGCAACCAAAATTTTGCCCAAAAAGGTCTTTTCCCCGGCCGAGCGAGTCTGTTTTTGGGGGGGGGGGGGGGTGCCAACCTGAAGCAAGCTTATTTTGTATGGCCACGTGACCAAGTGATCTCACACTCCCACTCTCACACCCAGCATCATATTTCCGGTGTCCTTTTCTTTCTTTGCATCATCATTTTATGCGGTGAATAAAAACGTGCTTCCAAGTGATCAGATGTGAACAGCAAACAGGCATAGGTTAACTTATACATAGGAGCATACATCAATTAATGTGTATTGTCAACTCTTCGTACACTTCAGATAGTATTCAGTATGTGTCCTGTCTGTCCTGCAGATCGATGGTCCATGTACAAAAGCTTCATCTTGTTCTTAACGAAGTTTTAATTTTAGTGCTAGAGTAGGAGTGAATAATATCCTCCATATGGTTAACAGTACAAACCAGTGATGAGGGGATGCGCCCTTCCTTCATTCGTTAGTACTTGCATAAAAAAGAAATCACCCCTTTAAGTCGAACTTCCCCATTTTCTTCTTTATTCGGTCTCTGACTTGATGGATGTGTACATGCGTGAACGTGCATGTGTCACTGTGCATGCATATACACTGTTATTATTCTGAAACAGACGAGAGGTCATCTATAGTGAAGTTCATCATCGACTGTGAATATAATCACACGGTCCCGAGTTTCATTGAACGAGTCGTACGTAATCTCCGCAATCTTCTTGGTGATGAGAGTGTCCATGCCGACGGTGTACACAGCGAGAGCGGAGGCACAGCAGTGTTTGTACAGATGTCTGCCAAGGCTCATGCAAGGCTTTGGGAGTTCTGTAAGGGTCAATCTAGCCTGCTCGCTGGTCTGCACATTCTCGAAGTGTCAACTGTGGACGGAGCAGTTGTCTTCAATTTGCGTCCCACGGCATGCAGTGACGAAGGTAAGACGGATTGGTGCAGTAAGAAGAGGAATGCACCGATAGCAGCGAGTCTACTCCTAAGCATAATCCCATATATACAGCGAGTCAACTCCTATTAAAGCGTTAGTCCCATGATGATAAGGAAGTCAGTTAATTCCTAAGCCTTAGTTCCATGATGATAGGGAGGTCATCACTAGTCAACAGATGACTGGCTGTCGTGTGGGAAAGTGGTTGGTGCAGGCATGTTTCGGTCAATAATGTTTGTCCGCACACAAGTTTTCTAGGAGACTCTTTTGGCAGAACGAAACAGCTTCCTTGATATGCTTCAATTTATCTCTGGAGCAAAAGGTCCGAAACTCTTTGGTTTCTTGTTCAGGTATTAATCCTGACGACCAGAAGCGCTTGGTTGAAGAGTTCTCCGGGAGATTTCCATCCTTGGACCAGGATGAGCTGTCTGTCGCTGTGGCTGACCAACCGGACGTTGAGCATGCAGTGATTGCAGCGACCAAGCTCGTCTTCGATGAAGGCGGAGCATGCTTGAATGCACTGCCTGAGATTCTTGGTGGTGAGTTTCAATTCCATTGTTTTGTGGTTGTGTTGCGTGTACTATGTCTATTGGGCCTTCTGTCACTGTTGAGAACCGGTGTGCATCAGCGATAATATTTACATCGTGTTATAAAAGCACAAACGCCGTATCATTTTGGCAATGTCACTGGGACCACAATGAAGAGAAATGGTGCGTATTGCCGCATCGGAATAATCGGAGGACCGTTTGATGTATGTATTGATGAACTTGTGGTCCTTCAGAAAAGCCTCTCTTTGTACTGAACCTCCCGAGGCCATTGTGCTGCAAGTAGAATATTCAGCAAGTCTGTGGAGGGTATTCCCCTATAAAGGTGTTGTGTGTGCGTGGGGAGGGGGGGGGGGGGTAGGGAGGGAGGAGGGGAGGGGGGGGGGGGACATATGAATCTCTCGTATCTTAGCACCAGCAACGTTACTCGCTGTTATGCGGGATTCACAGAAGCATTTTTACGATGCAATGCGCAGTGCGACATCCGCGAAATTAGGAAATTCTCTAAACGCACCGATCGCATAGCTCACTCAGCCGTCACAACTGGCCCATCGCAGAAGTAGAGCTTGCCACTGCTTGGCTCAACTTTCGCGATGCTACATGCGATGTGATGTACGATTTTGACCTTTGCAACAAAGTTGTGCGAAATGTTCAAGAGTTGCTTGCAGACTTGTACAAATTGTACCCGACTACACAAATGCCACAGTAACGTACACATTTGCTTTGAGCTTTGAGGCACGTCAGCAAGGCGTCGTCTACTTCTGTGTATGGTAATTTGTGAGTATGCATCGTACTGCGGTGTCGCAGATCGCGTTGTATTGCCCATAGGCTATGGGCAATACAACCCAATGTGTGACACCACAGTGCGATGCATACTCACAAAACAAAATGCAATGCTATGGGCCATAGCATTGCAAGATTGCTTCTGCGAATGCCACCTAAGATGTAAGGAGAACAAGTGACCCTGCAGTCGTAAAATTATGCTTTGCCTTTCCTGTTTCGGTCTTTGATAGGTGTGTCGGCAAGAAAGACAACTTCTATCCCTGCTCGCGCTCACCGTACGTACAACAATATGGCTGTGATGAAGCCTTGGTCCATCAAAATGCACAATGCATATGAATCTCTTGCATCTAAGGGCCGGGTTCTACTGCGGCCCCGCTGCTCGTCATCCGCGGCTTGAAACGTCATCATTACCATAGTGACCGCGGCTAGAGCTAGAGCAGCGAGGCCGCGGCCCATTGCAAGCTTTCGCTACGATTCTTGCTCAAAAACTGCGAGCCGCGGTCGGGGCTCGACCTGTTTCCCGTACTTTGCATCGTTTTGTACGCGAAAATTTTAAAATTCAAGTTTTAAATCGTTGCGCAGGCCAGAACATGAGGATTTTTTGATTTCGCGCTCACAGGCAGGTTAGACGTCATCAAAAAACGTGGAGCACGACCGCGGTACCGCGAATGGCGAGTGTCAGTGTAACCGCGCTACTCCGCTGCATGCAGCCAAAACCCGCGGAGCAGCGGAGCCGCAGTGGAACCCGGCCCTTAGCACCAGCAACGTCACTCGCTGTAATGTGGGATTCACAGAAGCATTTTTACGATGCGGTGCCGATGCGACAGCAGCGAAACCAGGAAATACCCAAACGCACC